CACGAGAAGGCAATGAGTAGGACTTCCCTGGCAGAGGCTATATACGCGTGGCCGTGTGAGAGTATTTCGAGAGGGAGGGCGGGCCCGCCTCACTCTCGGCCGTACCAGGGCATTTGGGGGCATGTTTAGAACAAATTTACTATTCAATCTGCTGTTATGATTGTCGACTCTGTTTGTATGGGTTCGATGAATATTATGATTTAATGTATTAGTTATTGTTGATTAATCGTTTTTCATTTCCTGACTATAATTTATCAGTCCTACTAATAGTGTAACTGAACTAATCGATAATCAACTTTGAGAGAAGTCATCCATTTATCTTCTTGTCATTTAAGTTCTGACCTTTTGAGATCTAGTTCAATTGAAGAATACCCATTTTCTGTTCATATTCTAACATAACAAATAATAAGGTACAATTGAATCATTTTGTGTTCCTTTTGTTTATATTATGTAAGATACATTCAATGATACTGTTATAAATCTACGTTATTCCAATTGTTTAAAATGGAGTTACTTTCAGTAAGTTTCTTCAATGAATATGATTCATTTGAGCTACAAATCTTCTTCACCATCTGAATGATTTCCAGATGGTTTATTTCTTATTTTTAAAAAAAAAGGTTAATCATTTTTGTTATCTTCAATTTTATTTATGAATGAAACAATTTAGAAAAAGAAAAAGGAAGAAAACAATGATGGAAATGATCACAATAAAAAATAAATAGTCAACTATACTAAAAAGTATTTGTACAATAATAGTAGTAGTAGTAGTAGTAGTAGTAGTAGTAACGAAAAATATACGTGTGTCCGTTTGTGTATGTGTGTGTGTATACAATGTGTGTGTTATATATCCATTCTCCAATATACAAATGATTTCTTTAAAATGATAAGATGAAAACAATATGACATTCAGATCAAAAGAAGCCGTTGAATAGATCACAATCATATGACTGGATAGAAGACGGGGGGGGATAAACAACTAGTACAATCACAACTAGGAATAATAAAAGTGAAAATTGTTTCTATGATAATTATACTACTTTATATTCTTATTAGTAGACAATAATCATATGTAAAAACGGATTATTCTTTTTTTAGGAATAGAAAGACTTGGCTCTATACATGAGAGAATAAGAATGTGTACACCTCATATACATCGGTGATAATAATTTTGTTGTTGCCTTCGCTTCTTATAAATTGTAAATTGTTGAAATATTTTGCTTTGGTGTTGCTATTTCAGATAATTCCACTGATGATTTATTAGTGTCATGAATTGAACACTGTTCCACCATTATAGGAGTATCGGAATGACTGATATCGTTATGTAATTTAGTTTCAGTAGTCGACTCTGATGTTTGTGCATATAAAACTATTAAAAAATTAAGAAATATGTAATAAAGTTAAGGTACTATTGTGATTGGATAACTGGGAATATGAACGAGATACAATAAATATATGTATTTAATGATCATAAGTTAAACAATCTTTATTTAAATCCTAGAAACAGATTGCCTCCAAATGCCATGGTACGATCGAAAGTAGGAAGAGTCAGCTCTCCCTCTTGAAATCCTCTCACATGGCCAACCAGTGCCACGGAAGACCTACTCGCTGCCTTCCCGTGGTATTACTGTCGTTTACGCAATTGGAAGAACGAAAAGTGAATGTTCGGTGTTTTAACCGGATCGGTGGACACGATGGGTCCACACAGGAGAGTTGGGGAACCGTCATTACAAATAAATGGTCTACATGGATTCCAGGATGCTGAAGGAACAAACGGCGTATGAACCAACCTTTGGTGACCGGCCAGCATGGGACTGCATCTCCTGACGTTGCTCCACTGTCTTGTGAGTTAAACTGAGTGTGGCTCCCTAAGAAAACCACTTGCTTTGGTTTGGGTATCCGGGCAGTATCTCACCCCTCACACTAATCATATGATTTATGTGGCGCATATCTATTTGTTTCCTCTTTGTACCAATGTTTATGTGTTTAAATAAATAGAAACATATTAGTGTTTTCCTCGAATTCCTTTTCAAGGCAAAACACTATTTCTTTGAGATCACGTGCCGATGCAACTCAGACAACCATCGAAAAGTAGGAAACACTGGAGAGCAGTTTTGTTTAAATATAAGGCTAATCAGTAGTGAGTATTCACGACACCCTACCGGGAATCAAACCAATGACCTTCAGGTCTTACCTTCCGATCACTAAATCAGCATCCAACATTGTGCAACAACAATAGTCTTCTACATTAAAGAAAATATTTGACAATATAAAAATATGTTATTATAAACACATATATATTTTATTCTCTAGTAGTACCCTGGGACAAAAGTCCTTTTGAACTATGTATATTTTCACTAAAAGCACTTACCTTCATTAACTGTATTTACATTATCATCATTCAATGACAATTCATGATTGAGTTCATTATCAGGTTCAGTTATAACTGGTGGATCATTTGGAAATAATTGTTCTAATAATTCAGGAAGAAAACTAGATAAATGTTTTTCAGTTAATTCCCATAGAATAGCTGAATTTGAATTTGGATTAGAATCTTTAATTAAAATTGGATTAAGATCATGTGTTCCAGTGCACATAACTAATAACACATTCTTTAATGATTCACGTACAGCATCAATCTTTAATTAAAACAAAAATGTTATCAATTTACAGATTTTTTTAAAAGTTAAATGATAGTAATCTATAAATTTCATGTTTAACAATGTGGATCGGATGTTCATCAGATGATCTAAACTAGTTTGACATCACAATTACTTACTTACGCCTGTTACTCCTCGTGAAGGAGCATAGGCCGCTCACCAGCATTCTCCATCCAACCCTGACCTGGGTAATCCTTTCCAGTTCCTATTCATCCTTTTCATATCTGCTTCTATTACCCGACGTAATGTGTTCTTAGGCCTTCCTCTTTTCCGTTTCCCTTCAGGGTTCCAAGTTAGGGCTTGTCTCGTGATGTAGTTTGATGATTTGCGTAATGTATGTCCTATCCATTTCTATCGTCTTTTCCTAATTTCTTCATCAGCTGGAAGCTGATTTGTTCTCTCCCACAAAACGCTGTTGCTAATGATATCTGGCCAATGGATGTTGAGTATATTGCCTAGACAGCTATTTATAAATACTTGTACCTTCTTGATGGTGGTTGTTGTAGTTCTCCAAGTTTCAGCTCTATACAGTAGAACTGCCTTGACGTTGGTATTGAAGATTCTCATTTTGATATTGATTGAAAGTTGTTTTGAGTTCCATATGTTCTTCAATTGTAGGAATGCAACCCTTGATTTGCCGATCCTTGCCTTTACGTCTGCATCTGAGCCTCCTTGTTCATCGATGATGCTTCCCAGGTATGTGAAGGATTCTACATCTTCCAGAGTTTCGCCATCAAGAGTGATTGGATTGCTGTTCTTCGTTTTGAATTTGAGGACCTTGGTTTTCTCCTTGTGTATGCTGAGGCCTACTGATGCAGAAACTGCTGCGACACTGGCCTTCGTTATCTGCATTTGTTCGTGAGTATTGGATACGAGAGCTAGGTCATCTGCGAAGTCCAAATCGTATAATTGATTCTGAGCTGTCCATTGTATTCCGTGTTTTCCTTCAGATGTCGAGGTCCTCATAATCCAGTCGACCACCAGGAGAAAAAGGAAGGGAGAGAGTAAACAGCCTTGTCTTACATCACAAATAATCAATGATAAATTAGCCTAGCTTAGAAACATTCATTTTAATCTATATGGAATGTTGAATAATCTATATCTTATTGGTTTGAATGTTATGGGTTTAATCTTACAAAAGAATATAGAATGTGATATATGTGATAACAAGTTCAATCATTTAAAACCTAATAAGCCAACTTATAACTTTTGTCTTGGAGACTTAATGTAACACAAGAATGATTTATTGAATCACTTAAGTGAACTTAACACAAACTTGTCTATTATAATTACTACCACCCTTATTTACAGCCACATTTAGTTAAATCTTGTACAAATGTTATTTCCTATTTTATGATACGATGTAATCTCTTTGATTGGTATATAAACTGAATATGTTTAAAATACATAATTCATATCACAAAAGTTGATATTGGTGATCTGGACATAAAAGACAAGAAGCAGGATCGATAAGGTTTCTAGACTACTCCTACTTGTTTTATGCATCATTGGTTCGATCGATAATTCACTCTTTTCTAATTAGCGATATCATTATGTTATACATTGATAGGGTCACAAATCTACAAGTTATAACAATAATTAAATTTAAGAGATTATTGTTATAATACAGTAGGTTTTACTTTACATGATGATATATGAAAGGAGTATCGTAAGAAAAAATTAGATATGTTATTTGTATTATTATTGAGACAGAAATGAAAAAACGACTACTTAAATCATATGATTATCGATTAGTTAGTATCATGCTACGCAATCGATAATGTGACAGAACTGTAGACTAAGGCATTCAATATCTTATTATAGTAAATTGAAGCTAGACCTGGAAGCATTGGAAGACCGTTTCATCCTAGTATGGAACTCCTCAGCAGTGCACACCCCACCCGCGTGAGATTCGAACCCAAGACCTATCAGTCTCATGCCAAGCGCTTAACCAACTAGACCACTGAGCCGGCATCTAATATTGTTAATGTCTAACTTTAATCTTATTTATAGAGTTGAACTTATCTACACTATTTAATCATACTTTATAAAATGAATTACGGTATTGTATATTAACACAAAGAAATATCAATTGAATCATCCATAATAAATTTTAAATCAACATGATTTAGATTGATTTACCAATGAATCTGAATTACTACTAGCCAACATATATTGTTCCATATAAGCAAGCATACGTATCCATAATGTATTAAATGTATCTAATTCATATAATGGACGAAGATGTTGTAAATAAACTTTAGTTAATAATGGAATAGCTCGCATACGTGGATCAGCAAATTCAACAGCATGTAAATGATGAGCATAACCAGTATTATAATTATGATTAATATCATGTAAATTTCTTGAATTCGTTGTAAACACTTCGTCAAGTGTAATACTTTCTAAGAAACCAGATAATAAAGGGAATAAAACCTAAAGGAAAATATATTTTTATGAAAAAAAGAAAAATAAACAAAGGAATTATTTATACATGACAATTGAATGGTAGAAGAAAATGACTTCACGGCTCGGAAAGCTCAGTGGTAATGTCTCTGACTGTGAAGCTGGGTGACACGAGATCGAATCCGCCAGGGAGCACCAGTTCCCTCAAGATTACAGGTACACCTTGCTGACGAGTGCCAAATAGCACGAAACCCGGGTCCAGGGTTTCCTGTTGACTACCTCCAACCACCATCTAAATCTCAATACATAGTGCCCGCAGTGTCGAGTCACCTAGACTGGTGGCCACATTGCAACATGATCGATAGCATTCGATCTGCACTAATAAGGACTAGACAAGCATTACATTGATCACCACCCAGTGATCAATTAATTGAGAAAATCACTTCATTTCAATATCTGAATGTGTTGGGATATTCAAGAAAATATCCCAGAAATTATTCTATTAAGTCTAACGCTATCCTTTGGACTTGAGATGGTATCATTTTCTTATTGATCAATATTTATTTCACGTGTCATTTTGCTGTTGGCCAAATACTGTACAAATGTTGTTTTTTATTTTTATGGTACGTTGTGGTCTGCTTGATTAGTATATAAACCCCGTGTGTTTGAAATATAACGATTCATATCTCAGAGGCTGAGACTTGCGTTCTGGACTCAACTGGCTGGGTTAGACAGGGAAGCGAGACCAATCGGGAATCTATGTTGTTCGTACGTATTTTATGCGTCACTGATTCGATCGATAATTCGCTGCTCTTTAATAGGCGGTATCGTTGCGTTATCAAATATACAGGGCACAAAGGATCACAAGTTATAACAGAATGAATTACTCAGTAGAGAAATTCAAGTTATTACATTTTAAATTATTGTTTCTATGCAAAGATGGATAGTGGTTAAACAGAGGAATTCACGATGCGCGTTCCATTCTATTCGAGACTCGTCAGTTGGATGTACCTACAGTGCTAGGCACTATCTATCTTTGTTTAAAATACTTGTGACTTAAAACTATATAGAGGTAATCTGCACAGAATGTACATATGCCAACATGAGACTGATCAATTGCACTCTTTAAATGACAATGAAAAGATACAAGTAAAATAATATCAAGTGAATTTATTGATTTTATGGTTTAATGTATGAGTTAAGATAAGGAACATCATCAAAAGATGAACTTGCATGGTAATTAAAACACACAAAAGTGTATTTTAATCAATCAAAATAAACCACTTGATTTCAGAAAAAAAGTTGTATTCATTAACTTGCTAACAATATTGATTACTTCCATGGTGGCCTGTTTGAATATCTGGGTTATCTACTCCTGACATCTGGATATTTCAACAAGTTATCTGTGTTTTTTTTGTTTTGTTTTAATACATCATTATGTCAATTAATTGCATAACCTATTCAGATACATTTATGGAACGTTTACGACCTTTTGGTATATAGCTTATAAAAAAGCACAATCAGAGACATCGTGATGACTTGCAATATACACTAAAACGAATGAACATTATTCAGATGTCGATTCCTGGACTGTTTATATCTAACTGACGATATAATATTGATTAAAGCCATTAGTAATAATAATAATAATAATACTCTTGAAAGTAGTGAGCCTATAATTTATGGACGACCTTTAAGCCCCCAAATACCCTGGTACGGTTGAGAGTGGGGAGAGTCCGCTCTCCCTCTCGAAATGCTCTGACACGGCCACGCGTATATAGCCTCTACCAGGGAAGTCCTACTCACTACCTTCTCGTGGCGGGGGTGTTGTTTACGAAAATGAGAGGACGAAAAGCGAATGTCCGGCGCTTTAACCGGATTCCAAACCAATGGTGCACATGGGCTCCAGTATCCTGAAGGAACAAATGACGTATGAACCAATTATTGGTCACCGGCTTCCATGGGACTGCATCTCCTTACGATGCTCCACTGCCTTGTGGATCAGACCTTCAGGTCGAAGACTCGGGGTATGGCCCCCTAAGAAAACCACCTGCTTCGGTTTGGGCACCCGGGCAGTATCACAGCCCTCACACATATCGAATGAGATTTGTGTGGCGCATATGTATTTGGTGCCTCTTTGTACTATTATCTATGTGTTGAAAATCAAAAAGCAACTCTAGACTGATATTGAAAGTGTCCACCTAATATAACTAGGACTAAATAAGATTTATAAACTTGTGTAAAGAATTCCAATTATGATTTACAATTGAATATTAAGATTAGTAATTATATTTGAGGCTTTCATCATGAACTGACATTAGTTATTATAATGCCAAAACTCTATTTATCCCAAAGCATGAATGAAATTCGTGCTAAAATCTTTCGTCCATAAATTATAGTCTTACCTTAAACACACACACACACATATATATATTAGTTAAATAAAATTTTATTTTCTTACTTCATTAAAACAATTCTCCCATTGTTTCCCATTTAATAAATGTAAAGTTGGTGATAATAATGCTTTTTGTAAATAAGTTAATGCATCTGTTCTAACATCACGACGTATATCAGAACATAATCTAGCTGTAGATTGTAATAATGGACGCCAACATATATTCCATAAATGATCTAAATTAATATTTATATTTAATAATTCATTATTATCTTGTTGATTATTTGTTAATTCATCATTTATCATAATAGATGAATTTAATTGACCAGAATTAATTCTTGTCCATTCTCTATAGATTGATGTGGCACGTGTAAATAATATATTAATTAAATCTAGAATCTAGAAAAATAAGGCATCAAATAAAATAAAAAGGGAAAACATAACATATCATATATAAGATAACATATAGATATATTTATTTTCAATAGTTGACATCATAAGTCAATTGTAGATAGATCATCATCATCAGCATAGGAAACCTGAAAGCATTAGGCGACCGTTTCATCTTATTGTGGGACTTCTTAGCAGTGAGATAGTAATTCACTAAAGACAATGGTAGATATGTCACTCAGTTTCGTGAATTAGTTGAAGTCAGATATTAACACCGCTGGATACCGGCCATCTCAGTGGTCTAGAGGTTAAACGTTCGAGCGCGAGACTGATAGATCCTGGGTTGGAACCACGCAAGGTGAGATCGTGGATAGGCACTGCTGAGGAGTCCCATAACAGGACGAAACGGTCGTCCAGTGCTTTTGTAATGAATAACGACACTAGTGGGCGCAATCAAATATATTTGAACACAAAATTACACAATATCTCATTAAAATCTGAGAACAATACAATAGTTAATTTGCAAAATATCAGTCAATTGTCTCAGATTTAATTGTTCCTTCATTTCATACTAATTACTTTCCTCTCCTGTTCTTTCCTCTTCGATCTTCTACTGAAATACATTCTATTCCTGACTATCGTTATATACTACTTATGTGTATATAAGTAGCATCAATTGACTCATGATCTCAACTATTGAAATTACTATAATATTCACACAAAAAACCTTCTGATATATTTATTTCTCAAACATTTAAGATATTATAAGAATTTGAATACAAATTCATAAAAACGAATTCTGTCATTTGCATCTTCTATTCATATATAGAGCACGTAATTTTCATATTGGTGAGTTAGTAGGTCTTGTACATGGATGACATGTACATCGAATTTTGCACCCCTTAAACTCTAGACAGAAAAAAAGTACTAGGAAGCTATGTTACGAAGTCAGATACTCGGTATTAACTTTAGCGACAACTGAGATACTATAAAAAAAACCCAGCTCTACTCAATCCCAGCAACACAACTACTCTAAAAGATCAATCTTGTTAAGATTTATTGGATAAAACCGAAAAAGATTGAATTTACAACCAACCCATGACACTTACATTATAATCAAGTGATTACCAATTGCAAAGTTTTTCCTTATACGTTGTATTTAGAAACACAGCATCCATTCAAGCATAAAAATACAAATAAATTGAGCATTGGGTAAGAAGAGAAACTGTATTTCTAACGTTTCGTGACTTAATGTGAAACACTTCTTCAGACTAAATGAAATTTACACTTGAAATATTAGACAACTCACAAAACAAGGGTATTTGTATACTTATGTATGACACTGAGATCCAGACTCTATAATCATTTGATGCTGACATAAAACATACGCCTAGAAGTCAACGTTTGCTAGATTTCTATGAACGCTCGATACTTCCTCTAAAAACTCTTCAGAAGCCAGAAAAAAAGTGCTACAAATACTTCGATTAAACAACACTTTTTGGAAGCTTCCAAGCGGAATCTAGATAATGGTGATTCATTGGTCGAAGTGGGTTATAAGTAAGCATCAAAAGATCAAGAATTTCGGGATCTCAGTGTCATGTGTGGTTATCAAAATACTGTTGCTTTTGTGTGTAGTCTATTACTTGAAGTATAAATTCCTATGCTTCTGCATTTCTTTTCTATCCAGGATCTAGCAATGGAAATTTGTAGGGTTCAGGAAATGTCTTAGAAGTACTGAAAATAACTCTCAGTAAATGTTAGTCATTAAATTATGACTACTGATCAGGTAAGAAAATCTGGTATAATCATTGTATTTCTAATAGAGTATTTGATTAATGATTGAATCAATTGTGAACTTATGGTTGATGCCTCGCAAAACTTTATCTACAATCCAGCATTTATTTTCTTTGCACTGAAAGATATAATTCATTGTTCAAGTGTAGCAAGTGGCATATATCTATATACGAAGTAATATAAAGTACTAACTAATTAAATTGAAATACATCACAATTTACCTGTACAGCAATGACACTAGTAATAGGACTAAGTACAGTTTCACTAAATACCACTCCTTTTTCAAATGTCTTCAATTTTCCATGCTCAAGATGTTGTTCAGTATCCGAATCTGAATCAGATAAGACATAATTGGGACGATTCGTTGGAAACTTTGGATGATCAGAACGACGATGATGTCCTGATTCCGTTTTAATATTATTATTATATGAAGATAAAACTCGATTATTTGCGTTCCTTGGAGGTAAATTAATACAGGCTTCAACAAAAACACGTAATGCTTCAACAGCACACTAGGAGTAAACAAAATAAATATTGAAAAAACCTAATTAGAAATATATATATGCACGATCATTCTACTCAAGCATGGAAGCTCCTTATTCGTCTTTAGTATTGCATAGTTTGTTGGGCTAAACATGGGAATGTGATTCTAACTAAATCGAACTGACAGGCCATAACAACTCGAGAAATCACATTTCATGAAAGAAATGATATATTATAACCATGTGATAAGTTCGATAATTGGATATTCTTTATTGACTTCCCATAGTCCAGACTACTTACATATTTCAACTGGAACAATCTAGAAAAGGTGGGAAATGTGAATAGGAGCTTTACCCTAATTTTATTTATATATGGGAAGTCGAGTGTATTAGTAGACTTCTATGTGGCCTTGATCTTCTAGAAGATTTTGGAAACATGCTGAACAAGAAACAACATGGGTAACTAACCAATCATGTGATACATAATCCTTTCATTTTCTAAATGTTTCTGAGAAGCTTTTGTTCAATTTTCATTCGATAAAACGTGTCCCTAGACCAAGAGAGATGTTGTTGAGGAATATTTGTGAATTATGCATATTTATTAATTGAGTTTTTCAATTCGATTGTAAGTTCTACCTAATAGATTGGACCAATGACAAATCTATCAAACCATAAGTGCTCATGATTTGTCAAGAGAAAGCTTTAGTTTTCAAGACATAAGACACCAATGGTGGATGAACACACATACGTGTCGATTCGGTTAGTCGACAAACCTTCTTTCTCACGCTCGGTCTTTCCACTCGAGTAGTCGATTGGAATCGTGTATAGAAAGATTGTGTATTAGTATCAAGTCTCGGACACCGGGAGAAATTAGTGTGCGAACTAAGTATCAGACTACTTACATGGCAACTTAAGTTAAAACATTCAACGGATAAGCATAAGGTTATGAGAAACTGCATAAACAATTGAAAACAATAGGAATGAAAATTATCACAAACCTCAAAGTTATCTGGTGTAATGTGGGCTGGATCACGAATTAAAAATGATAAACAGTCAACAGCTAGTTCTAAAGTTACTGGATCACGTGAACCAATCACCACTTCATAACTTAAAACCAAAGGAGATATAAGAAGAGATGATTTCTCCCATGTTGTTTGTGCCATTTTAGTAGGAAGCTTATGGATTACTTCATATGACTCTGAAACGTCTGTTGTGTCATTTTCGATCACTTCTGATGATGAGTTTTTCTGAATTTGTTCACCATCATTTCCGGATACAGACATCTTCGAACTGGATAAGTGTAAAGATGATTTACTTGCCACTGCTGAAACCTCATGAACAGTATGATGTGTTTCACTATCGCTTGTATAACCACGACTAGATTTATACGGATTCGAAGGATGATTTACACTCATTTTTCGAGGAATATCTGAACTAGAATCTAAAAGGAATATATAAAAAAAAAACTTCGTTGTTAAATGAATATGTAGCATTTACGTATAACATGTTGCAGATTTGAATGAAGTAGATTGTATTAGGACTGTAATTGATCAGTCATTTTTTGGTAAATGTCAATTCTATGCGGATTATTTCAAGACACAAGAATTATAAACAGAGATGCTGGTGGATAGCAGTGGAATCCAAGATGCACGTTTCGTCCTATTTGAGACTCGTCAGTACAAGCTAGTGGCATCCTGGACTCAGCAGACAAGTAAATAACGTAATAGTATTCGAAGGGACCGATAATGGGTTCGAGTCCCGGAAAGGACATCAACTCTGGGATGCACCAGGCCAACGAGTCCCGAATTGGACGAAACACACGTCCTTGATTCCACTGCTAGCCACCATCATCTCTGCCTATAACTTGTAGTATATTTAAGTAACTGAAAAATTCTGAAATGCTGGACTAAAACTCAATAAATTTTTCCGAATATCTATAAAGTGTATACGACATATCCATTAACTATTCAACTTACAATTGTAATAAGAATTAACTCTAAAAATGAATTAACAAATTATGAATTTCTCGCAATAAAAAACTGGTTGAACAGATATTTATTTATTTCAACACATAAATATTGGTACAAGGGGGTACCAAATATATATGTGCCACACAAAACAATGAGAATGGGGAGAGAAAAAAGGTAAGGAGCGTAAAGAAAAAAGAAGAAGAAGAAGAGGAACAAAAACGACCAGATTAGTATAAGGAAGTGTAATAATAATAATGGGGGGAACGGAAAGGTACAACGAGAATAAATCTTTCAATTAAGGAAGATACAACCACTTTTTATGAAGAAAGTAAGAAAAGGGTACAACAGGATCGCCACTGGCTTCTATTCTGAGCCATATCTGATAATGTCTCTAGTCACTGTGTTGCAACATCTCTCGGACCCCAACCAGGGAGTTATGAAGTACCAACGGAAGCCAACCCTTTGCAGCTTTCTTTCATACCACGGCGCCATGTCATACACTGACCACAATGAACAGATACGAGTTTGACAAGAAGTGTTAAATGGACAAAACAATTAGTTCTTGAAAATCTCAATCATAAAAGAACTAGTCAGTTAACAATGATGACCATACTACTTCCTTCCAATTTCATATACGAATGAAAAACAGAATACATTCGAAAAGTGGGATAAGTATAACGAAGAAAAACTTTATAGGCAAAGATGAGTGTAGATATTATGCCAGGAAAAAAAGTCTGATGATCAATTGCAGTTCTAACCATCAATGAAAAGATTAAAACAAACAATATATATAAAAGAAATCTTTGTGTTGAATACAAAGGAATAGTAAATTATTATCTTGATTCTCTGTTGACTTTTATTTGGACACATAAATATTGATACAAAAAGGCATCGAATATATATGCATTACACAAGTCACTTGATTTGTGCGTGGGTTGGGATACTGCCTGGGTGTTCAAACCGAAGCAGGTAGGTTTTTTCTTAGGGCGGGGGTCACATCCGGAGCCTTCGACCTAAAGGTCTAATCCACAAGGCAATGGTACAACGTCAAGAGATGAAGTACCACGGTAGCCGGTTACCAACAATAAGTTCATGTTCCATTTGTTCCCTCAGGATCCTGAAGTCCATGTGTACCATTGGTTTGGAATCAGAGTTTTCCAATTCCTAAACCAGCATTGTGTAATGAATAAATATTCTTAAAATCATGTCAAATAAGTTTTCTAGTAGTATGTTTTATTCACTGAAGTGATTGAAGTATATACACAGAAAAAGTCAAGTAAACTAAACAACTTAACGATAATATGATTATCATTATCAACTACATGGATAAATCAGAAGAAAAACAGTGTTAGCTCAAAATTAACTTACATGAGAACTTCTCTTCACTATTACATTTCGCTACTGTTTTACCCGTTAAAAGCATATTAGCTCTTCGACCAGCTCCGCATATCTCTAATAAACCAAAAATAAGTTTCCAATCAGTAGTTGGATCTGGTAGATCAGCAGCATGATTTCTTAATAAATCAGTTAAACCATTAATCACTTGTCGAGCAACACGTGAACCATGTTTAAACAATAACAATAAAGATGAATTATTACTATCATCACTATTGTTAACAAAGAATGTAGAAGATTTTTTATATGTATGACGTGAATTCGATAATTTAGGTGAAGAAATACTTGCTTGTGGTGATAATGTTGATGATGATAATGATGATGATGATAAATTAATAGAATACATAAGATGTTCACCATGATTTAGTAATAACCAATAAAGTGTTGCAAAGATCTGAAATATTTTTTTGGGGGGAAGATAATGAAAGAAAAATGAGCTATTTATCAAAACTAATTAATTGATGATTGAAATAATGATAAGGAAAAAAAACAACAACAATAAACTAAGAACTTAAACTCTTATTTTACTATTTCAATAATAATAATAGTCCTTTTATAATGCATTGAAATTGGATGAAAAAAGGTTGAAAATAAAACAATCACTTTAAGACTCTAAGAATTATACTGTTATTGTCATCCAGACTATGTATGAAGAGTTCTTATTTCGGTAGCCTGTAACTCTTCCAGAGTTACTGTCGATTCCAAGTCCGGGTAAACGAAGAGGATTAGGTATGGGGGTTAGCGAACCCATCCCGTAGAAAAAATAACTCGCTAAAAAAACGCTAACTAGAAAAAAAACAATGTGGGAACACAATATGACTACTATCATAACGGGGATTTGTGGAAATTGTAGGAATTTTAATAGTTAAATTTATGAGTCGATCTAAACTAGACCACCATCGACAACCTGAAAGTACTGGATGACCGTTTTGTCTTAATATGGGACTCCTTACGTCACACCATTCAATTGGTAGTGTCAATAATATTTAATACTTTCAAACTGTTTACAAATGATTAAACATCATCAGATATAATAGATATATAATGCTTTCATGTAAACTACTCAATACAAATATTTTATGTAATTTGTAAAGAAGAGCTATTGTTTAAATGCATAAAAAATCATTTTTTCTGGTTAGCGTTTTTTTAACGAGTTAGTTTTCTACGGGATGGGAACACAGAACCCATGCCCAACCCTCCTCCTTTATCCGGGCTTGGGACCGGCAGTAACCCCCGGAGGGACTCCAGGCGGAGTTTTAAAAAATCATTAATAGAACAAAATGCAAAATTAAAGAAGAGCAATTAGATATTTTACATCTATTTATTTATTCATTTGAACACATAAATATTGGTACAAGAGAGCGCCAATATATATGCGCCACACAAAACAATGAAAATTCGAAGAGAAAAAAAACAACAGAACAATAACGAAGAGGTTGGTGTAAGGTAGTGTAGTAATAATAATAGTAATAATGAGGGAAACGGAAAGGTACAATCAGAAGAAATCTTTCAGGTAAGTGAGACACAACCACGTTTTATGAAGAAAATTAGAGAAGGGTACAGCAGGATCGCCACTGGCTTCTATTCTGAGCCATATCTGATAACGTCTCTAGTCACTGAGTTGCAACATCTCTCGGACTCTAGCCAGGGAGTCATGAAGAACCGACAGAAGCCAGTCCTTTGCAGCTTTCTTTCATGCCACGATACCGTCATACACTGACCACCTCTCCGCTTCTTCTAACCAGTCCAAGAGTTGGCAAATAATGCACGACGTGGAATTCTCTGGAACGACATTCGTAGAACATGTCCAAGCCACCGAAGTCGGTGTTTCAAGATGGTGACAC